ATTATTAATTTTTAACTTATTAACTAAATTATTAATTTTTAACTTATTAACTAAATTATAAATTTTTAACTTATCAACTAAATTATTTCCACATTAACACTCATGGGTTCTCTTTCATAAAATTATTATATATTAAAATTGATTACTTGACCTTCTTTATATTTTTAAAAAAAAGATTTCGCGTAAACATTCTAAAGGTTATTTATTGAAAAAAAAATTATGATACATTATTGAAATCTTTTATTTTTTTAGTTCATTTATTTACTTATTTAATTTTTTGGTTTTACAAAATAAAATATTTTTTCCTGACCTCATGATATAATCTACAATGATATAAATACCTTCCGATAAATAATAAGGAAAACTGAAAATATAAAGATAACTGCATTTATTCGAGGTTTTTTAATTGTCATTGTGGTTATTAAAAAACAAGCAAATGGATAAAATATTTAAGAAAACAAAAAAGAATGTTAAAAAGGCAGAATTAGTTTCTCTTTAAAAAATTTCCTATTATAATGCTCATCTTCAAAAAGTAATTATCATTTTTTATACTAGGGATAATATCTTACAGGGCAATTGAATGGGTAATTAACATATATAATGGCACACCATTCTTTCTTCAGATAAAAAGTATTTTATGTTTATTCTTTTTTTTTCTCGTTAAAATATATCGAGTTCTTCGGTTTTTTTTAAAGAATAAGTTTCATTTCAAAACAAATAAAATCTAAAAAAAATCTAAGCATCAAGAAAATTATAGACGCAGCAAAGAAGGAAATTTTTAATTTTTTTATTTAACTTCATCCTTAGTTAAACTCATTTAGATTACTTGCACAACTACAACAATTATTATCAGTAATTTTAGAGGAATTATTATAACTATGCAATTGATAATCGGTATTAGGTAACATGAAGGGTCAAATTTTTACAAACTCATTATTTTTTGCTTTTTTACTTAAAATTGGTGAAACTATTAATAGTTTCAATACAAATTTACTAATTTGTTGGATTATGATAAATCTTTACATCTAAAACAGCGCATTTTGATGCGTTTATTTTTCATAAAAAATAATTCAATTCAATAAAAAAATAATTCAGAGTTTCTCTATTTATTTTTTGAATAAATAAACATTACTACATATTCTTATGATTTTTCATTTGGTTAAAAATTCATTTATTCATTTGATTAAAAATTTATCCAAAATTTTACAAATCAGACGCACTTCAGTACTTTAGTAAGAACGCACTATGAAACAAAGGCCCTCTATTTACGCTTTTACCCCAACTTGCGCTTTTATTTTCATATTTTGTATTCTGGCGATCTTGTTACAAAAATATTTGAAATCATTCATGAAAAATTTTCCGTTCATGTAAGTTTATTTGAATTCGCTACTCGCTTTATAGGTTTCGTTTTATGTTTTATTTTGTTTTCTCCTTAGATTTTTATTTTTATTTTTACGTGATATTTTAACTTAATGTGTTCTGTTTTATTTGTTGTAAGTTTTTTTTTTTGAGTGCTCCTCACACTATTGTATTGATATATTTTGCTTTGGCTGTATTGATACAGTATTATGAAAGCACTCCGTTCTGCGGATATAATCGTGTGAGCTGATTGAAAGATTACATCTTTTATTTTCCGGATTTTTATGAAATCCCCCCTTTATTTCTAATATTTATTATAATTATTTTTCTTTCTCTCTTTTTTCTCTGTTCTGTAACTTTTCCATGTTTTCTCTACATTTTGATCTTATTTTATGAGTTTTATTTACTTGCAACCTATGCACAGTAAATAAAACTTATTGTTTTTCTTAATTTTCGTCGTTTTTTTTTCTCTTTGTCATTTTTGTATTTATTATGCTATATATATATATGTGTGTGTGCCTACAATAATACCTTTGACTTGAAGATATTGTGCTTAATAGGTTATCTTTTTTTTTCTTTAAAAAAAAGCACTTTCAATAAATAACTTAAACTGNTTTTTTTTTCAAATTGAAAATCCATATTTATAAATATTATCTAATTTAACCATATTTTTAAAAGAAATACTGTACTAGAAAATACGATTTAAGTATTTTTACTATATAATCAGCTCACTTATTTATATCACAGCAACACAACAGTAGCCATGCAGTTAAATTTCATTCCGACTTCTTAGGGCTTTAAAATAATTCCAACTTAACTATATTGATCTTTCTAGCGATTCTGATAAACTCCCATGTATGCTCCAACTGCAAGATGCCAAATATTTACTTAGGATTTAATTTGAAATCTTTTTGATGAAATGTATATTGACCAACTGTTTAAACCGTCATCGCAAGGTAAATGGGTGAAATCAGTATGTTTTGAATATCTGAGTTATTAGCATTTTGATTAATACTAAACAAGAGCAACAACGCCACTTGTCACCAACACAGTGAGTCGTGACGCAATTACGTAAACGGAAACGAAAACTGGATGTTTGTTGGACAGCCGAACGAGCTAGAAGCAGACTCGAAAATGGAAAATCCACTTGCAGTTTGAAAGTGGTTATTATTCCCCTAGCGTCCTTTTAGTTTAATTGGCACGCAGCATGCGGAGATGAATTCTAGTCTTGTTTTAATTGGATATCTTCATGGTCTAAGGATATCAGAGAGGGGATAAGGCTATATAATGAACTGAACTATTAAATGGGATTAAATTAACCATATTTTAATGAATCTAGGGAAGCATAAAGTTCTGATGTATGTGTGACGTATGCAAATTTAATGGATATTAAAATCATGCAAGTTATTAAAATGCATTTACAATCACTGTCCACTAGTGGTAAAATAAGTATGAAAGATTTTTTTCTCATGAATACAAAAAAGTTTTATTTGCATTCTAAACGATATTTACAATCAATATTAATATCTATTCGTGGCATGATAAACTAGCTGCTTACTATTTATATTAATGAATACAGTATGGAATGAAACTGTAGTATGATAAAATATAATATGTTAAACATTTCACTGCAAATTTAATGCTCCCTTCTGTTATAGTTTTGGGTTGAAAGCATGCTTTTATTCTCAGTATATTCAAGATTAATTATTTAATTATCATGCATATTATGTTATTAATATTCAATGCTTATTTAAATTCTGGTTAAAGTTTTGAAACTTAGTGTATTTCATGCACATGTGATAATAATTTTATTAAAAAAAATAATATTTATCTATAGTTAGAATATAAATTTAAATTGTTGATTTTAATAATCAAGATGGTGGTATTTATTGAAACTTTGTTTTTAAAAAAACTTTTTAAACACAATTTACCAAAAACAACAATTCTTCAACTTGAAAAATTATTAGCAAAATTTTTGTTGAATAAATAATATTGAGTAATAATATTAATCGAATAAGACATAACGGTATGTATATCTATAACGGAATTTTTTTTTTGAACAGCAAGTTAACTTTAATTAACTTTACATCCTAGTCAAAATAACATCATGACTAAAAATGAACTTATTATTGGTCTTGTTTTACGTTTATCTTTTTAAATCCAAAATTTATATTATTTGATTGCATATTTATTATTTCATTGCTTATTTATTGTTCAATTTCAAAAAGATCAACAAGAATTTTTAATTGTATCATAATAATTCATTTAACTTCTTATTTCTTCCAGACTCTTAACAATAATAACAATTCGCTAACAACTGCCATTATTGTTAATGCCTGGATACCACAATAACAGTTTGTCGCCCAATGGTAAGAATTAAGTTATATACTATTTTTTCCACCATTTCGCCCATCCTGGGCTGATCAAACACTCGGCGTTGTTCTTCTTAATAGCAAAATGTTATCACTCTTAAAATCTCCGAGGTTGGTGCTGCTTCGCAAGCGATTTCACGTGTGATCTATGGTAATGATCCCAGATAAAGTCAAGCTAATGTGGTGGTTGTTTTACACTGTCATTGTCGGTATTTAAGTGAAAACATTCAACTGATTCATTTTCCTCTATGTACAAAGGAATACGATTTGCCGATTATTGTTAATGTCTGAATACAACAATCTCAGTTTGTCGCCCAATGGTGAGAATAAAGTTATATGCAATTTTCCCCCATTTCGCCCTTCCTGGGCTATACAAACACACGGCGTTGTTCTTCTTAATTGCAAAATGTTATCACTCTTAAAATCTCCGAGGTTGGTGCTGCTTCGCAAGCGATTTCGCGCGTGATCTATGGTAATGGTCCCAGACAAAGTCAAGCTAATGTGGTGGTTGTTTTCCACTGTCATTGTCGGTATTTAAGTGAAAACATTCAACTGATTCATTTTCCTCTATGTACAAAGGAATACGATTGCCGAACGTAAGGTCATCCCACCTTTTGAAACTGCTCACGTTTTTGGTGGTATTTGCTGTTAACTTGCTTACGGTTGTAGGTGAACTCTTTATAAATAGTACTGAACACCAGTTCGAACGTCGTCAGAACGGCAGTTTAGACTTGGACTACAGTTTTTTGATGAGGGAAAAAACTCTTCCCGATAACAGATCTGGTAGTTCATTAGCAGCCTTCTAAAGCTCACAGTCCTTGAGTCAACATAATCTGGAATATTAGTGGCAAATGAGTTATTTAAAACAATGCTTTGTTAAAAAGAGAATTGTAAGAAAATAAAGGACTCTGTTTAGATACATAAGTAATGTTAAACTTTTCATAACTTCAGATGGTTTCCGTATTTTTAGAATATACCCGTTATTTCGCAGACTAAAATCAATAGAGACTATAAAACTCATGTTAGTCGGCAATTCTGGCCTACAAGCAGCAAGCAGTAGAAATTAGTTTACGAAACTATTAACAGCTTCATGTAGTACAAATTTTATTTAATTCTGAAACCAATTAAGGTAATGGTTAAATTAATAGTGGATATTATTATTTCTGAATTTTTAAGGCATTTAAGAACATGTGAATATTAATAAAATGTAGATCAACTAATTATAAATACTATTTAAAACATTCAAAAATGATAAAACTTTATACTTACAATGTACAGCTAAACGAACGGAATATCTCAATGGTTCACCAACATCGTTGCTTGTTTCACACATGTAGTAACCAGCATCCCCTTTTTGAGCAACAGTTATAGTCAGAGAACCATTTTCCAATACGTGGATGTGGGAACTGCTTAAAATACTTTGAAGAGAACCATCCTCTAAAAAGTGAGAAAATAATAAAAAACAATCACTTATCCGATCATGCATTTGTTATATATGCAATTATATCCATAATGACATAGGTTATTTAAGTCAGTATTAGGTTTATTATAAAAAAGTAAAGCTATAAAACCAAATTTTTTCGAGTTTAAAACTCATCTAGAAAATAAAAAAATAATATTATAAAAGTGTAACAAAACACGTTTTTGAAAGTTCTTAAAATGCTTGCGTTATTTCAACTATATTTATATCGTTGTGGTGTACTAGAAGGGTACAAAAATGCTCATAAATCTTCTATAAGTCATTTTAAAAAAATGCTTTAATTTAAGCAAGATATTTTTATTTTTGAAATAAAGGAAAATATTTAGCTTCATTATTAAAACATTTTGGTTTGTTTTCAATGTTTGACTGTACTGCTTTAGTACTTTGCTTTTTGTTATCAATTAAAAAAATCACTCGACTATTTTTTTTTTATTAAACTAAGTTACATAAACTTTAAACTTCATGCAATAAAAATTTGAAGTAAAAAATCTCCCTAAACTTTGAGTAAAATGAAAAAGAGTGATAACGTAGAATAAAAGCCTCGAAGTTTTACCATCTCATAAAGTACAATATAGAAAAGAAACGAAGTTACGCAGCTAAAACAAGATTAAAAACATAATTTTTAATCATTTGAGCGATATTTAAGTGTATTTTTTAATTCAGGAAAAAGATAGCCAACTTTTTAAGATTTTTGTGCCGCCCTGGCCACCCAATGAATGTGTTAAACGTTTTGAAGAGTGTAATATTTGTTCTATTCTTAATTTCATAAATTAAATAATCTGACTGTACGTGCTTTAATTAAAAAAAAAGATAATAATATTTCCAACTTCAAAGAAAACAACAAACAAATAAATAAATAAAAATGATCTTATTCATATTAACAGGTCAAAACGAGATAAGGACATGAAGTTAAAGCAAGAAATTTGTCCCAGAAAACTATCTCGAAAAATCAACTAAAAATATTAATAACTTAATTTTTTTGATATATGCTGCTAAATGCATTCAATTAATCGTCTTGCTAAGGGCCAACTCCAAAGAAAAATATTATCATAAAACTGTTCATAATTTTCTTCACACAAACTTGTCTCATTAGAAGAAAAGAAGAAACGCAGCCAATTTACGCTAAAACTAGACATGAAAAATAGATTTTGACGAAAAAAATATGCTAATATATCGGGTCTTATGATACATTTTGAAGGGATGTATAATGTGCCTAAGTCCTGAACAAATAAGATAGCACCGCTGCATTTTCTGATGGGAAGTCTCAACTTCATCGATAATCGTTAATTTTGAAAATACTCTTCAGGGTTGAAGCCTTGAGATGTTAATTGATTCACCAGTTAAAAAAAAATAGTTTCTTTCTAAGATCATTAACGCTTTTTTGATAACGTATTTCAGTGATCGATAATGAAAAACTCAATTCTCTTAGTAGATAATCCGTTATTTTAGATAAAATTTTATTTTATACGATAGATTTTAGGTCTTCTTAAAATTTCAAGCATTAAAAAAAAAACAAATAATATAAACTGATACTATATTTATATTGTGACAGATATCCATCAATAATATTCGATGATCATTAAGGATTTCGTCTTATTTTGCTGAAAATTAAGAAAATTTTCTTTTAGATGTATACCAGTTACCAAAATAAAATGATCAACGATTTCATTGACGATTCGAATTAAAGAAAAAAACGGAATTAAGTAGTTATATACTCCTATTATTACTTTCTGCATAGAAAAACAGCTATTCATTCCCATCAAACTTTAAAAATAGTAAGAAAATTAACCGATAGAAGGCGATACTGATAAGAATAAAAACTTTAGAGAAGTTTGTTTTTGTTAGGAGTCAGATAATTTCATTTGGAATAAGTTAATTGGTGACTGTTAACTATGCCATCAGACTAAGCTGCATTGTCATTTTTAAAATTAGTGAAAATAAGTAAATCTCGTTAAATTCAGCTAAAATTAGATTTCCAGTCTTTTTCACTTCACACTCTTATTCAGTATAAAAATGTGTAAACAAAAAAAAAAAAATTATATAAAACAAAAGTCCACTCTTTTTGCTTTCGGGTTTTTTCCCACTTAGGGATTACATTAAGAAGCGAGTCTACGTTTCTCTTCTTCTACTAACCTGTCGGAGTTGAAGATGAGGATTACAGACACTGTTGCTTACATCACAGTTGTCACGCATTTTTATGTACAAGAAAAAAAATACCAATAGGATTGAATTTTGCTGCTTTAAAACAAATGGAGCTTACATTGATCACTTATAAGTTAAAGACTAAAAATGTATGCATCCCCGTAACTCCTTATTGTTACCATGAATCCCTTCATGATTACTTACATTTAAAACTAATTTCAGGAATTCGCTTAAAACTGCTTTTCACACCATAATCTCAATTTCTTTAAAAACAATACTTTATAATGCGAAACCTTACAAAAACTTTTATTCATAACTGTTTCGAAAATAAAGACTTGCTGAAATCTTTTTTTAATCAATTATTTCAAGCGTTTGTAGTTAAACTAGATAAGACAATTTAAAATGCTTTATGGTTAATAAATTATTCCATGGAAATGAATGAGAGTTTTATTTCAAATGATCACAGTTTATTTGAATGAAATTTTTATAATAAGATTTCTTTTATTTTAACGTTAGGAAATTACGGTCTTGATGTTCTTTATCCTATTGATTTTAAAGGTTTGTCTTTGGTTGAAGAGCTTTGTCGTTAGTTGAAATTGCTGAATCTAATTCATTGGTATTGTATTTTCATTAAAAACATTTATACTGATTACACAACAGTCTTCAACCGTTAGGATAGAATTTTCCTATTGAATGAACTAATACTTCAAATTTCTCTTTGTAAAAATCTTTCATAGTGTATTTTATTTCATATTATTCTTAAGTTTTATTCGATAAAACGTGAAAGGCTTCCACATAAAATTCTTCTTTAGAGTTTTGTTGCCGTTATTGTATCGATGATATCAAATTGATTTCTTTACAGCTAAGTAAAAAAATTTGTTTAAATAAAGTGATAGTGGTAAATTTTATCAAAATGCTTCAGATAAGCATTTCGCTTAAACCTTTTCCCTTGTGTCTCTTTTTATATCTTTTAAATCGCAGAATAAGGTACGATTTTAAAGGAATCCTATGCAGATACAAAGAGTTGTTTTTGAAGATCTTTCTTCCTCGGTTCTTTCAAGTTATTGCATTTCACATTTTGCAACAGATGGGGGATGTATATATTGAAAGACTAGGCGAGGATATGCAGCACTAGAAAGGAATAAAAAAACAATATAATATCGGTAAAAAGACGCCAAATTTAGTTTTGCGCCAGACAGTGTTTGTCGCAAAATTGAAAAAGTAACGGAAAAAGTTTTAAAAAACGACACAACCTTAAGTTCGCGGGAGAAAATCGTTTTTATTGTATCCGTTTTTTTTATTTTTATTTCTCCCCATTCTCAATCTTTTACTCAAAACTGAATTGTTTGAGTTAGAATCTACTTTTTCGAATAAAAAAGGCAGATGCGAAAAGAAATTTTCATTAAAACTCAGTCAAGTGTTTGAAGATAATTAAATATCCAACTGCTGCATTGGAATTCCGAGCAAAATCAATAATGGTTGTTTTTTTTCTTCATTTTTCGCCAGTTTCTTGCGTTTAGGTTTTTTTTCTCCAGAGTTTTAACTTTAAACTTCATTTCAGAGGCAAAATGATGTGTTTGAAGAATGGGCTGGACGTGAAATATCTTCGCATAATTTTCCGATGTTTGATTTTTCTCCCTAATGTGACGATTATTTCTTTTTTCTTCAGCTTCATGCATAAGCGACATCTGCTTAACTTCTGCGGTATATTTTCTCAAAAACATTTAATTATAGTTTAAGAAGAGTGATAATGCCTTAAAATGTGGTTTTCCCCGTGATAGCACTTTTTATTTGTGGTAAGAAGGAAAATAATGTGCTACGTGTGGATGTTAGCTAGGATTTATTGTTACAGTCAAATACAAATTATTTTTCCAGTTCTGTTCCCATTGTTTTTAATGACGTTATTAACATATGTTCCATTGAGAAAAAGCTGATTTTAAAGCAAAATCATTCGTGTTATTAAAGTGTTTGTAGAGTTTAATTTTAATTTCGATTAATTTTTAATACTAATGGACTACCTACGATCGTTTGGGAATTTTTCTCAGTTATGATAAGCAGAAAGTTGAGGTGTACGCTCACAGTACGCCACAAAAATATCGATTGAAAAATTCTCTACTCTAAAAGCGGCTGTGACTCCTGATTAGCAATATTGCGACATAATAGCAATCTTTTTCCAAGAAAGTTAATTTCATAATCGAATTATTTTATTTCGTAACTGACGTTGAACAGCTGACCCAATTCTGAATTTATGACTATAGATACAGACTTGTAATTTTGAACCCAATCCAGAAGGCAAAGGGCGCCTGGATCAAGCACTGGAACAGACTTGCCTTCGTGAAGGAAATTTGATGAAACTAACCAGAGTTTGAGTTGCATGGAAAACAAAAGCCACAAGACCTCCACGGGACCTCCCATGTTAAGGGGATTTTAACCCTAATCCGTCTAAATCTGATGATATTTTAAGCAAGCATTGTGGTCAGTGCTCGACGGAAGTAGAATTCGTATCGGCAAGTCAACTCTGTGCAACTTCATTGGAAAGCGTGATCTCTATACCCTGAGCCCCGTGGCTTGGAATAGAATTATTGTAGTTATTATTTTTATTTTTTCATTTTTATGACCTTTGTTGAACAACCGACCCAATTTTATAGGTTTACGACTACTAATGTTCAACTTCGTATCCTTGTAATTTTGAACCCAATCCAGGAGACAAGGAAACTTCTGGATCAAGTATTGGGGGAAATTTGCCCTCGTGGAGACTTTGTTATGAAACTAATCCACATATGCGTTACAAGGTGGGAAAGAACCACAAAAAATC